ACTTTTTTGCACTTGCACTGTAAACGAAAACTGCTGTTAAGATGTGCTGTAACTCTGGAACACTTAATACTAACGATTATAAAAAAAACTAGCAGAAATTAAGGAGCAGTAGCGCAATACATTAGCTGTATAAGGTTGTAATTTACCGTCACCAACCTCACCGTTGATAAAAAATTTGCGTGTACGTCAATACATAAAAAGAAACTGCTGAGATAATCCAGCTGAAAAAAAAGCTATTTCAGCAGCTTACCAAAACTGTGCAATCAATGTAAACTTGAAAATGTCTGCGCAAAAACTTGACTCAACAGAGAACTCAACAACAAAAAAAGAATTATATTCCAATTCTACAAAGAAAGCAGCCGATCAGTGGAACTGCAGAACAAAACCTGGCTTAGAAGAAACTGCTGCAAATTAAATTCACCTAACAAAATCTCTTTCGCAAAAAAACTACTACAAGAAACGAAGGAAGTTTTACATGTGCATAAAACAGACCTTACTTTTATAATTCAGCCATAGTGGTACCATCGCGGAGAGGGAGATTAAATTACGGGATTGCACACTCACTGGCGATGATCGATACACAAAACATATTGCTGCTATCCTCATTGCTGTGAATGTACTAAGCTGAGTGAAGTCAAATTAATGGGAAGATTTAAACCAGCACTTGTCAATTCCTTGGATACCACCTACAGTAGTTACACACTTTGATGCAACATTACGTGACACAAGCGATCGCCACTCACCGCTCTCCACATTGGTTTCACAGAAAACGCCACAGCGAACTAGCGAATTCAGCTGTTGGCCTTCGGTGCGAGCTTCGACGGCTCTCTCTACAGGCCTCAAAGACTCCTCGGCAAGTTCTGACCTTCGATCTTGCATTGCGACTGCAGCTGCACCCGCTTTTCTCCTGTCGCGAAACAAATTGACTTGGGTTGTTTACCATTGAATTTACCTTTCTTTTTCGGTATTATTTGTCGGCAGAGGCTTTGCAGCTGATTTAACGTGCTTTCGACGCCTGAAAGATTCACGAAGCGATTTTTTAAATGACTTCAACCTGGAGAGGCTAGCTTCTGTGGAAGCAATTCCCGACGTTACTTCTAAATAATAATGTAAATAATAATAATATATATT